CGAGACGCCCTGTTGCACCCATACTTTGAGGATCTTGACCGAACTCAGTTGCCTGCTTGTGGTGAGGAGTACGTCGGTCTCTCAATAGACCATATTCCTCAAGAACTCGCGACTATATTTGCCGCTGCGTCGAATGAGGAGCAAACCTTCGAGGAATTTGAGAATATCGATATAGGACAGGTAGGTCGGGTTTAGTTAGCATGCTTTGGTTACTGTGTGTTCTGGCGTGTTTTGTTTTTGAAGCTGCAGTAAGTGTCCCGTACCACCTATCTGGCTTTGTCGCGTCGATTTCACTAATATTCGAACACCATCGATTCTACTTGACGTTTTGCGTGTATTTCCAAAGATTCCGATCGTGCCATCGACAGTGGCCCTAGGTGCGGCCTTGTTTCCGTCAGCCGCTGCTCGCGCGAAGCTGATTCAACAGCAAGAAGACGAACGTCAAGGGACCGATGAACCGTTGTCAGAGAATCAGATAGTCAACATGTCCATCAACTAGGCCGCTTTTCTCGTCTTCATTCATTTGCAAGGAATTGTTTCATAGAGTTTCCGCTGTTTTTTACCACCTACACTTGTATTTTTTTAACTCGTAAAAGCACTGTATTGGCATGTGTCATGACTGACATGTACTTTTGCGTTTTACTGTCAATTTGGGGGTCCGATAGAAACTTGCTTTTGAGGTGTCAAACATGGTAGTGACTGCTTTTTGCATGTGGGTGCAGAATCGACCAGTAGTTCAGAGAGAAACAAATTTGGCCATGATTTGTAGCATAGGAGGGTCATTTAAATGTCAGCTGAGCCAAAACAGCTGCTGACGAGGGCAGCTGTCGAGGGTTGGATCAGCCGACTTGAGCGTCAGTTTGTGGGCGCTCTTGAACAATCGGACAAACATGGTCATACGAGTGGTGCATGTGATTGATGCTGTAGGCCGAATCTAGTTGCAACGACCGGCTGCCATTCTCGTTTTAACTATATGCTTGAAAAATGTTTTTGAGTCCAAAATATTAAGGCTGCTTTGTGTGGAAAATGTGTGGTGGTTGAACTCGTGGTGGGTTTCAAGCATTTCTCATATGCTCAAAACAGTAAATGAAGGGCCGCAACTAATTTGATGTGATCGGCGGTTAATTGTGAGGTGATCTGTGGATGTGGTGCTGCTAATAATATCTGAGCAGTAACTACTGGGTTGTTATGAAAATGAGGGGTCATATTTACCGAGCATGATTTCGGGAAAAGGTGGGATGGCGTGTCTCTCGCAACAGGCGAGAGAACTGGGGATTCCAATCCGTCCGGTTTGTAGTCTGCCAAAGTTTAGTGGAATAGTCGCTTGGCCACACAACTTCGTTTGGTTACAGCATTTATGCCAATTGGTTTTTGTGATTCCCTGCCTGTGGTTACAACTGTGATGACTGTCCACCCTCGAAAGCATCGTCTCAGCCACTTCACATTGTATCTGGGTCACCCTTTTTAATTTATTGATTAGCACTGGCTGCCAGCACAATAAACAGTCTAGAATAAACTTTGATTTTCTCTGGATACTCATTTTCTAATCGTGCTGCAAAGATTTGGCGAAAGGTCATGGGCAAGCATCTCCAGCAAGCTTTACTCACTATCACCTTGATGGCATATGCTATAGGAACGGCCGACCGGCCACTATCGGGTCCAGGAAACATTCAGTGCACCTTCTGTTGCCTGGCATCGACCACCTAGATTCTAATCTTGATGCTCAGGTGGTAGGCCTCGTGCAATTATACCGCTTCATCTTCAAGCACACGTAGTGAGAAACGAGGCATTCGATAGTAGATGAGACTGCCTTGAACCAGTACTGAAATTGGCAAGTATTTAATCAGATTGCGTCAACTAGGATCCGATTCCCGGCCGAGTCAGTCACTGAAAAAGTCAGTTGTTCCACCAACGTCGTCTTAAAAACGATTCCTCACATTATTTGTCTCCGCAATAACAAAAGGCTCGAGTATCTCAATATATGGACAGAACACCCTGGAGCATGACTTTGGATAGTGACGTGGCATTTACTCATGTTATAACGCTAAGGATGAGCAAAAGACTTTCTGTAGCTTTACTGGGAAAACACCCACACTTTACCAATCTAACTTACAGGCCTACCACAATCCAGCACACTATCGGATGAGAACGGGAAAATTTGTTGCAACTTGGGACAGTCCCCCAATCATTTGTCATGGGTACGGACATTTTTTCAAAAAACTCGTATGTTAAAGACGCCTCGACTGTGATTATTGAGCTTCTAGTGCAATTACCACTCCAACTTGATAGCCCACACCAAATCCGAGTAAGATTATTTGCAAAGTTATAGTCAAATCCCCATAGAACAGGCCGATACTTATAAAGGATCAGGAGGAACATCGTAGAGTCGATTACTTACTTCTAAAGATATGGCTTTATTGTCAATCCGCCATAGTGTGTGTTCGGTATTCAAGACCTGGAGTTTGTATGATATGCTGTCATAACTGCCGATTGAAGGCCTACCAACACCAAGATAAGAGTTATCCGTCAATTCCGTATTTGCTCACCGGCATCGAGTTCATAGCACCTTGCCCTTCTCCACTCATTTCCACAAATCCCCCTAACTCTGTTATTAAGTTCTTCCCAAACTCTGCAACACAACCACATTCGCTTGACAGCCAATCACCCCTAGTCAAATCCAATCACTATTACCTGAACCTGCTATTGACACGTATCAGTCCATTGGACGGAAGCACTGCCCCTAGTCCTACTTTGAATTTTAATCAGCCATGGGTTGTTCGCCAAAATATAGGTTTTAAGGTATGACACAATTCCTCTACACGTTTTATTGTGCAATGACGGAGGTCGGTGTGAGTAGTGTAGAATACTCGAGCCCTAGTATGAAGAAAACACACAAAAGAACGAGCTTTATTGATCAATCACTGGCCAGAACCGTTCGTCATGCATCATCCACCCGAGTCCAACATGCTGGCTGCGCAGTTCACTTACAGTGTCTCTTCTTCCTTATGATCTCGAGTTGTAGATAGTTTGCCTTTTAATGTTTAAGTAAATGTTATAATCGTCGAACATTACAAAAGTAAGGGCATTATATCTGTCGATACGTTTAACCCGCCGTAAACAAAAACAATTTACTATGTTGTGAATCGTATTCATTCAACCCATTAGTCCGACCGCTCCGCCTCCTACACAGGGTTTCCCTTTTCGCTGCATGTCGCCAGCCGCGCGGATCCTCAACTCCCCCCTCATTCACACGGAAAGTTATCTTGGATATCCTCACACATGGGTCTCGATATTAGCGCATGTATTACTCACACATCCGAGGTAAAAATACACACGCACATACCCCACACACCACACAACATCACCAACGTATTTGGGCTCTGAAGTAAATAGTTGTGTCCACTTCTTCTCCTATCTTTTTCTTCATCGCGTAATGCAAGCGTAATCGGGCCAGGGTTAATTCCGTGGTTCAAGTCCGCATGTTGGGGTCCACAACAACAACAGCCTTGTTATTAGGACAAACAATACACTACGCCAACAAAGAAGGCGAATTGGAAATGTCAACAACACAAGCGCTGTGTTTGCTTCGTACACTTTAAACAGTTTTCAACATGTTCACTACTTGTATTGTGAGTAAAATTGTATACGGCAATCAATACGCGCTGACAATGAAACAAAAAATAAAGCAGGAGTAACATGCAACTGTTCCCCCCCTTTCCACGACACAAAAAGACACTTAAAACAACATCCAATGCAAATAGGTAATACGGGCATTAGGTTGGAGATTTCGGACCTTATAACTGCAGCATTTGCTCGCCTCATCCATTAGAGGAGGAGCAATCAAAACTCCCATCGCATCTCTTTAATTTCTGGAAAATGTCTAATCTCGATTCAGTGCGCCATATCTTCAACTCATATTTCAAATGTGTCCTTCGTAGAAGTAAACAGTTTGAGATTGTCTTTACCCCATAATCAATAGTAAATCCTCAGCAGACTGCATTTGAAAGAAAAGTTACATTTGTGACGGATCTTCAAATCAGCCCATTCAAAAATAATCACCGCGACATTTCAGTTATTAATAGGACTGAATTAGACCTAGGTAACTGGCGATTGTCGAATATCAATAAATTAATTTTATGAAACGATTCACATGAAAGTACGTGTCCCAATCACTTCGAATCAATATAAATGGTTGTGGTAACGCCGCAAAATACATATATCTTTTTCTATTAAATGAGAGATTTGAGTGTCGAAAATCAGCTCATAATTATCTTATAATTCATACACTAAAGAAAATATCAAAGTCATTTTAAATTTAGTACGCATATTAAAAAGGCAAATATTGACCTGAAATACACACTAAAAATTCCAATGTGACGATTACACTCTTCCGAAGAAATGTGCGGGAAAACTGGAATAGATGGGGCCTCACAAATAACGCATTTGTGTGCTTTTGTTTTGAATGAGTAATGTTGAAGATAAATCATATTTAATGTTCCTGAAAGCCAAATGAAAATTTTATTGAAGTTGTAAAAACATTGAGTAGTACTGTAGTATCATTTAATTTTGCCTTTACTCTTCCCATAAAACATCTACGAACGAGTTATTAGGCAACGGAGAGAATAAAAATTTATCTTTTGATTGTTTAAGCAGACATAAGCTTTTTAAATTCTAACCACAGTAATGTTGCAATAATCCATTTAATGAGCATGAGTAGACTTAGTACTTCGAGGCATCAAAGCCAGTTTGTAGCAATTGTGCGTCATCATGCCTATGCAGCACAAAAAAACGTAGGTAGTAAGCTTCAAAAATCTGCAAATTAAGTGGTTGAAAAAAGCAAATTTGCTACATCGAGATAAACTCAGAGGGAAAAATACAAGGAGACTAGCTGTTAATGCAAACATCTTCGAACACATTCCGCAGTATTTGCAAAGACATTACACTATATCATGCAGGTGTTTTCCCAACAAACGACGTACTTGGACTTCATTGAGGCTTCAATTTGGAGCAATGGGGTTATTTGAAGTGTTAATTTGTATCCATTGGAAGTTCCAAAAGTTGAATAAATTTAAAAATTAAGGTAACATGTTACATGTCAAGAACATGTAAATGTTTACTATTTCAAGGCAGTATCTAATGGTTTTATGAAAAGTAATAATTTTGTTAACGTCTTCCACTAATGACAAGTCCCAACAAATGCGCTCATTTCAATAATTTCGTTTCAAAAATAATTTCACTTCACATCATACATTTCCAACCAATTAAAATCAAGACTGAATTTTCGGTACAATATCGAAAGTATTCAACTCTTATAATCTGTACTGTTTTGTCTATTAAGAGCAGCATTTTAATACAAATTATGTAAATAAATTCAACTTTTAGAATTAAAGGAATATTGTTTAATTTGATTATAGATTTACAATAGGTGAAGTGTAATCAACCAATCGAAGTGTTGTGTCTACCCTCGGCCCTCTGAACTCTGCCATTATGGAGAATAGA